AAAATCTCAATGAAACAGCAGAACCTCAATAAAATGTTGATGACCACTTGCTTAACAGAAAATCAATTAATATAGTTCAAAGAAGTTTGTTTGAGAAAAGTTTCGAGAGTTTACTCTTTAAAAAATAAATAAGAAATTAATATGCTTCATTTAAATTAAATCACATGCATATATAGCACATAGACTGAAGGAAAAAATTAGGACTAATCCTTGCATTCATAATCAGATGACTTTACAGGCTTTGCCCTTTTTTTAATCTCAGAACATAAAAGGAGAAAAGAATCCTTCACCCTGGATGTAATTTTTATAGCGTGTTATGAATGATTCAAAAATATGAAACAGACTCTTTCGTGTTGTTGACAAACTCTTTGTTTTAGTAATGCCGCAGTGACGTTTTCTATATCTTTACTTAAAGAGAACTTCTTTCCCTGTAGTTTTCTATTCAGATTTGAGAATTTTCAGCAGAATCATAGAGAAGAACTCAGGAGTAGTATAACATATAGCGAGATTATGCTATATGTCGTACAGATTATGCGGAGGATGTAGTGTTGTCCCATGGATTTCAAATGGTACTGATAGTGTTACACTGCCCTGATTGGTACAGCATGCAGCCTAAATCGTCATGGTTAGCGACTATGGCTGCAATATCATCGAAGCCAAGTTCAAATAATCGAGGTGATTTTGCTGTTTGTAAGTGTAAAATGTCTGATTTGTATGGGGGCACTTAAAATATCGGTGAGCCAAAAGTCGTTTTGAGAGGTTTAAGTGTGACCCTCTAGTCCGTCTCCTGAAGTGCTTTGCACCAGAACTGGAATGGAACTGTACACCTGTAAAACTATTTATAACGTCCCGGTATCCTGTTCACCTTCTTCCTGTCCTCTCTTGCCAGTGTTATAGCAGCAACATACAATCGGTATTGCCTTGGAGTAAAAAAACCGCTGTTTCTAGAGTAAATTCATTATTTTCTTCCCCGTAGTTTCAAGTAAAGGGTTTTTCAGGCAGTTTCGATAATAATTATCGTTCACCGTCTGTCCATGGTTTGGCAATGCAGGGTGGCTGACAGTCCCGAAGTTGTGATCCACTATGACAAAACTTTGTAGACGCTGCAGCCAAATACTGAAGACCATGGTTATCTAAATATGTGTTCCAACTGTATTTGGTTTAGCCAAATATTCTCCAGCTTATTTGCTGTAGCCATGTTTATTTAACTACATGTTCCAACTGTACTTGTAGTAGTCAAATATTCTTCTACTGTACTCGCTTACGTAAGTATCGAAAACCATGTTTGTCCAACTGCATGTTCAGATTCGGGGATCCTTTATAAAATTCAGTGTAGTCTTTGCCAAATATCCCTAATATATCGGAAAAGAGAAACTGAAGCATTCTTATAACTTTTCAATTATCTCTTTTACAACTTTTAGTATTTATAGTAACTTATTTATAAATACGTTTTTTATTTAAATAAACTACATAGTCAGAATATTATTAAGCATTAAATTATTTATTAATTCTTCACTTTTATGTAGTTAATAACTTTATATAGTTTTGACAGCACTCATATTTTTCAAACTCATTCTATGCGACATATTACTTGCTTTCTCAGTGATATTATCAACCAAATGCTTAAAAACGAAATGAAAGAGACAAAAGCGAAATAGAAACGAAATAAACGAAAGATAAGCTTCTCCACACACTGAAATTTTGTCACAATAAATACTTTTTTAATTCCTTACATTCCGAGAAATAAAACTTTTGCTTCACGATTCAGCAAAGAATGAAATTAAATTGCTAAAATTGTTTTAATCTAACAAATTTCTTAACTTTCTTGAAAATATCTCTTTCTCGAATTTATTAGTCCTATGTAGATTTAGATTTGAAGCTTTTAAGAAGAAATTCAGGATCATATAAAAATAACATGACAATACGTATTCCTTAAACGTTTCCTTTCCGGCACGTAATAAGTCAACACACGAAAACACCAAAAAATTCTACTGCCCAAGGAAGGTAACGGAAACGCCAAAAACATCAACTATCCACAGAAGGTAGTTCCTTAAAGACCAAATAATTTTATTTTGGATTTGCGTTTTCATGGGATATCTGTTTCAGAAGACCATACATAGTACAATGTTTCTCTACTGCCACCCCCCCTTTTTTTTTTTTTTTACCTCAGTACCCAAGATCTGTTGTTGTATTCTTGCTCAGCAAAAGTCTTTTATTAATTTGGTACTCATGGACCATTTATTATTTTGAAAGTGTGCAATTGCACTAATCATCCGTTATTTTTACACCATAATTACGAAAATTCAGGGATAGCCTTAAAATTCGTTGTTTCAGAGATTCTGTCAACTTAAGTGCAGCAACTTATGGTGAAGCATTTCTGGATGTACACTGCCCAAGTACAATATGTTCCTTATCGTGGAATATCTATTATGTCTGCCCTTTCATATATTTATGTAGGATTGGTTTTTCTACAGATCTTACATGAAGTGCTAGAATTGAACCATACCAAATCCGAGACCGGTTACATTATTCTGATATGACTATGCATTAATATCATATTGAAATTTCATTACCTTTGATTGGAAAGAAGGCTGGAGAGCCCACATTTGATGCCATGTGATGAGAAGTCGTCAAATGGTGTGAAGACGGGAAGCAGAGAGGAGGAAACGGAAATCTTGGCAAATCAGCATGAGGCGACGACGACAGCAATGCCTCAATGCAGTGTTGACGACCACTTGTTTGACTGAAAGCAAATCAAGCAAGTAGGTTTTTTTTCACTTGTTTAAATGATACTGAGCTTAATGTTTCATTTAAGTTAAATTGTTTTCTCACATAATTCAAATTTTTAGTTAGATTATTTTGTTCTGAGAAAGCAGTTCATGTTTTTCGACCTTGGCGAAATGATATCTTCGTCGAGGTCTTTTTAAAATTAAACTTTAATAAAGAATGTGGAAAAAGGGCCAAAGGATAGTTTCTACATGGACCACTATAAGGTACTAAGATGACCATAATATAAAAGTAATACAAGTTAGTTGTCGATCTATGACTTTATTTGCAACAATTAGTTTGTTTAATTAAAAAGAAAAAAATTTTAAAACGAGTTAAATAGATCGTCAATAAAAAATGAAATATAGAATATCGGGGTATTCTTTCATACAACTTGTATCATGCATCTTCAAAGAAAGTAAGTCTAACTTTATAAGTGTCTCTGTTACCGGCAAAATAAAATAAATAAACTAACTTAATATTAATTAAGTTCCATTAGTTTTATAAAAGCTATCAGTCGCATCAACAATCGGTTAAAAAAGCTCTGATTTGCACAAAGTTTCTTGATTTTTTTCTATTTTGGTCAAACTTTTTTAAACTTGTATGCTTTAGATTAAGTGTGAAGGAAATTATTTATAGGCTACTTGGGAGTTTTAGTAAGTTTAATAGGCTAATTAATTATTTCTGAAATTCATTAAAATTGATTTGTATGCATGTTTACGCAAATAATATAAGAGCTTGATTGTATGGAAACTTACCTAACACCCTAAAAATTCATGAATTAACATGATAAAACCATGAATTATTTCAGAAAATGTGTAATCTTTGTGATTATTTAGAACTGAAGGATTCAATAAAATAGCCATCTGACTTGTCAACTCTATCCTTCGATGATGTGTGGACGGTTTTCTGTCGTGTTTTCACAACTGGAAATATGATCCTTAGAGTATAAGTATTTTCTCCCTCCTTTCCGCAATACCTTTTTAGTGTAACTCGAAACACACTCAACACATATTCGAGAGGTTCGGTGTTCGAATCCGGCGAGGTTACTGCACATTTTTGTCGTCTCCAACATAAAAAACTCTGATAACTTAACAACAATACACTTATTACTGTAGACTTGGCCAAATATAATTCGTCAATGATTTCTGAATTTGTTGGTCATATCCTTTTAGCACCATTAATAATAGCCCATTGAAACTTTCGTAGCACTTGGCGTGTATTAGCCTATCTTGATTAAGACCGCTGAATAAGGGAGTTCATTTTAGGTTCGATCCTTGATGAATGAGCTGGAAGGAAATAACCCCAGATTGTCCAAGTTATCCACATTCATCGATAGGACTCAATCAACGTTTATCCAGTGGAACAGCTGTCCTTCGATGGCGAAATAAAATTAAGTGGCTACAGAGTTAGTGTTCGTAGTTTTCTTCATGTGTACGTGAATACGAGCCAGTTGCCCTTAGAAAGGCGCGTCCACCAAGGCAGTCCTCTAAGCAGATAGACCGTGCCGAACTTTTCTACATTCAGGTAACCCTAACTCTCAGGTGTAGCCATATTTAATGAACATTCAGGCAGAAGTTAATGTTTGATGTTTAAGGTGCTACATCACTAACCATTCAAAGCATTATCATATTGTAAAATGTTATTCCTAAATGTTATTTCCATAACTTTTCAGTGCAACTGAGAATAGTATAAAAAGATAGAAATTCTGTATTGAACAGAAGAGTTCAGTATCAACAAGTGAGTGCTTAGTACATGTAATCAAATTGGATTTTATATTAATTGTTCTACATTTGCGAAAGTAGCAGTAGTGGAGCCAGAAGGGATAAATTATTTAAAAATTTATGGAAGAATTTTAGCATTAATTATAAAAAAGTAGGTAAATACAGTGAGCCCTCTCGTGGTCAAAAACCTTCCTAAGATTATTCATTCTGGAAATGATCAGCATTTCTGAAGACATAAATAAACACCGGTGCTTAACATCACGTCTCTAGAATGGTCAACGCCTTCGCAAGATCAACATCATCTGAGGTCAAGGTTAGTGGTCTTAGAAAGGTTTCATCTTGACGACCTTTTTAACACCACTAAACTGTATTAATAATCGGCAGATTCAAATATCATTATGACTTTACACGGAAAAATTATATTTAAAATAATTTCATAAATTCTCAGGCCTTAGATGTCATGCAAATTTTGAAGTCCAATATCACAGCATCGCTTTATCGCAATATCACAGCATTTACAGTATTTGTAGGCATGAAGATTATATTTTATGTCTCTACTTTATGAAATTATCTCATAAAAATTAGGTATTTAGAATTACTTTCTATTCTGTGTAAATTTTGGACATCTTTAACACAAGTTTGATGCATATTTCTCGATTTTTATTTTGAAAGCAAGTTATTTTAGTGCAAACACTGTTAATTGTTTTTCAAATAATCTGGTAAATAGCATGACAGTTCTTTCAGGATCAAAATACTTTGACGAATTTCTTACTAAAAGTGGTGGTTTTCTTCCATTTTTAATGTCTGTTGTATATTAAACGCGATTAGTCATTTTCATCGAATGCTTGTTGTTGAACCCTACTGGTGACTTAACTCATCTATCAAAATTTTGCAAAGTTTCCTATTTTTGATTTTGAGCCACTAAAATATTTTGAAATTATAATCTGCCAGTGGAAAAAAAGCGATAAAAGAACAAAATTCTACTCAGTTAAAAAAGAAAAACTATAAAATAGCATTATTTTGAATAAAAGCATTTCTTTTATTTTGAAAGTTTGGGTTTGCAGCTTTTGTTTTTTAAACAAATTCAAGAAAAGACATTTAATTTGCATGTTTCGCTCTGAATTAATTATCAAAATGCTAAAAGAGTTTGACAAAGAAAACGTGGCTCATATTTCAGCCTAATTTGGGAAAAAACAAATAAAATTTAAGAAAAAAGGTTAGCTAAATAAATCCCCCCCTTTGACGTTATTTGTTTGTTCCAAATGATGTAGTATTTAATCTTTCAATCACGATTATAAAATTTTCAATATGTATTTATTTAGTTTTAATAATCAGTTATTTTATATTAATTATCTTTGCTGTCTTTCTCGCTTTCTATTTTCCTGCCAAAAGGCAAATCTCTAGTTACTGTGTATTTAAATGAGGCAGAAAGTATTTAACCTTTTCTAGGAAGCCGGTACATATATGTCCCACACGTTAACTGTTTGCATCTCAAAGTTTGGTAAATTATGGAGCTATAAAATCGACTCGTTAATATGAATTAAAAAGTGTTAGACCCTGTTGATTTGTTTTTCTGCATCTTTCTGCAGAAATAACTGAATGATCCTACTACATAAATTGATCCCTATAGCCCACAACAAAAATTCTTACGAGAAGGTTTTACAGGGTAGAATCTGAGCGTGTTCCGCCTGCTAAAGACCATGTTCGCAAATCGATTCTCTTAAAAGCAGTATATTTGCAGCGTTGTGTTGTCCTCGCTGCTAGATTTGACACGCAATATTAGGTTTGAGTCAACTTGCGCACATTCTGTTTATGTAGACAATACATTAGACAGACAATTAGTTAAGTCAAATTTTGTACTTTTGATTAAAGCTATAAATGCTGGCTGATCTGTAAGCACAAGTAGTGCCTTCTGTTAACTTGAGTTAAATGAAAGTCCCTTTTACACCCTTCGTACGTTTATGTCGTAATTGTACGACTTAGTGATGAGTCACTTTTCTTAGAGTTCTCGTCTATCGTACCAAAAAAGACGAAACTCTGTATATATGTATATATAGTACTTGTTTCAAAAAATTTCAAGCAGAGCTAATTTTTTTTAATTCGGTTCATCTAATATATATTGATATATAATTTCTTATGTATGAGAGTGAATAAGAAACCGATAACATACAAGGTACGATAAAGTATGAAATGTTGCGTAACATCCATTATAAAGTAAATCTTTCCATCTTTACTGATCAACTCTGATGTATTCGCAACCTACTTCAATATAACGAAAATATTAAATTAGAGTATAATATCTTCTTAAGATGTGACTTTGTTTAAATAATTGTACTAATTTAATTAACATTAATAATTATTAATTAAATTAAGAAACTATAATAAATAGTTATAAATAATTACAGTTTATTTAAATAATTATAATAATCATTAGTGATTTGTGTGGGAAGAAATAATTAGCTTACCATTCCCGTAGAGTGGACCAAAGGGGCGGAGGGATAAGGCGAGCAGGCCTTAAGGCAGGGAAGTAGTCCTTATAGAGAGATGCTGTATTAGACGGGGAGAATCCCGATCCTAAAGAGGAACATATTTTAACTGGTTCTGGTTCTTCTAGCTTATTTTCTACTATTCCGGGATCAGGTTTCCCCGATAACTGATCTTGCTGCAAACTTGAATTTTCGACCTTAAGGTTCTTGTCTTCCTGCGCAAACAACAGCGGCAAAATTTGAGTTATAAAACGTAACAGAATGTTCAATAAAGACTATTTTAATTATGAAGTGAATATCTTAAAGTAAAAATTAGTAATATTTCATAGTAATTTATTAGGGCATTCAGAGTAGTAATCTTTAGCTTGAAAATTCTGTAAACTGTTTTGCAATAAGCGTTAGTCGTTTTAATTCTTGTAAAACTACTAAATGAATATAATAATGATTGACCTCAGCGAGGCCTCGCGTTGATTATACGAAACACTTCGATCAAGAATTAATTTTTATTTTTAATTACTTAAAAATTAACTTAAATTCTAAAATAACTCAATTAATGATGCGTTAAGTAAAATGGATATTTACAATAAAGGCTAAGACTATCCCAATGTTTCATACAATACTGGAATCCATATTGGAACGAAATGGCAAGAAATATTCGAGTTTGACAGCCTAAATGCTTATAAAAAGATTTTGTGCGTGACTATGATATATTTATCCTATACGGAACCTTACAACCATATATTAAGATTTATACTTTGTGTCTCGTATTTTTTTGAATTGTCTTACGTGGCAGTATCAAAAGGAGAGTAAAGCTCGAAACATTTAGACGTTTTGTAGAACATTTTTTTTTGAAACATTTCAAAATAAGGAGCTAATTTTCCTCTGTTTCTAAATTTTAGTGATATTTATTATTTGCTATATGCTGGAAAGGTACGTTTACGAAATTTGAGACAATTAACTTCCTGGGTTAATCATTATAAAAAACTGAAAAGTTACACATAATAATTAGCCCAAATAAGTGATAATTTTATCGCTGATTGTAGTTTCGTTGCAGTTAGTCCAACATTACCAAAACATTGCTATTATTATGGTGAACATGACAAAAGTAAAATGCTTGACGTGAAAGCTTTAGTTGTCTAAGAAATGAAGGGGAGTCAAACAAGCTGAATTACAACAATTTAACAACACATTGGTAATGCTGGACTAAGCGCTTGAATGAAAACAATGTTACTACACTTAGCGGTGACACGTTTGTTTATTATGTGTCATTATTATTTGTTTATTATGTGTTTATTAATTAGTATGTCAAATCAATTTTTTACATTTACATGAATGATTTGTTTGAAAAGGTGTTCCATTTTTCATAATAAACACGACCGAAATAGTCCTGCCCACAGAAGCTTCAGGAATAAATACAGTTAATTTTTTCTCCTATTCTTTGATTTGACATAAGCTGATATCTCGCTTTTCTAAATTAGCAAAAGATCAAACGGCACGTTAAAAACGAGCATAAAGTAAGAGGAGAGAAGCCTATGTCATAGAGGAACTAAACAGCAACTCAAAAACTGATAAAGACGCTTTTTTTAATATTACAAAGCCTTTTTAGACGCTTTTTTCTAATGTTTTCCTAATGTGACAAGTTAAAGTTCGTTAAAGTTATGAAGACATGCATTGAAACTTAATGAATGCATGTCTTCATAACTTAATGATTATGGCGAAATCTGCAGAATCAAAGTGTCATGAACCAAATTATACTGTGTTTCCATTCTAATAAATAACTGAATGAAATAAGCATTTTAAGTGATCTAATGATATTTTGAACTGCTGTATTTTATTTTTAACCATCATTATACAAGATGGAAATTATCATACTATTTAAATCAGCGGTTTCAAACTCGAATTATGTGTGAGCCGAATGGTCGATCTTAAAACAGACGACCAATCGAATTAGATTTTTACTAAAATGAAATGTTTTTAACAAAACAAACTTTTTAAACTAAATTTTGAATTTTATTCACTAAATCCTAAGTAAAACAAATATAAACACTAGTAGTATTGACGTAAAGGACAAAGCATTTTGATTTGTATTTATCTTTTATCATAAGTCTCAAGGCTGGCGTCTGGAAAACATTTCTAATTATTTCACTTTGTAATTCAAAAGTTTTCACAGCTGAATATTATTGAATTTTCAGGTTGATATTTATTTCAAGTAGATCTAATACGTTTAATAAACCATTAAATAATTTAAATAAACTAATAATAAGCAAATAAAGAAAATCTTTTAAAATTTGTGACTAAATAATGACAACTTACTCCTTTTCTTTCATTTAATACATTTTTCTTTGACACATAAATCAAAGTACATGTATTTGTGTGTAAATATTAATTATAAACTTTTCTCCTTCTTATTATAACTTCTTCTATACCTCACTGCTTTTCGATTTGGATAAAGGATAAAATTTGGAGTATGTACTTGGAGAAATTTTTTAATTAGAAACTGATTTCATCACGAATTGTAGATGCTCATCGGTCAGTCTAGTTCCCATTTTTAGGCTTAAACTAATTTTTAGATGCGGAAAAAAACGTTCGGATATAAATGTGCTCCCAAATAACGCGATTATTCTTGTTCCAAAAATTTATTACTAAAGGTCATGTTATCTTTTGACAAGTGCGTTCACTAAAGGTATTTATCTTTTGACAAGTGCGAAGTTAATGATATCCATATCTTCATATCTTTGACTAAGATTTTTACCACAGTGTAATTTAATTGGCTCCATTTACCTGCAAAATTTCTAGGGCCTTACAGGAGTTTTCATGGTAGTGGAAACAATGTAAAATTGGACTAAAAATCATCAAAATCTTAAACCCTTCATTAATATCTTACCATAATAATTAATAGCATAATGATATGCTAATCAAATTCATTTATATTAGTCATAGTATATCGCTAAATTTTAGTTTTTAATAATAAAACGAAGTGCACTTCATTTATACGAATTTCTCTTAAGCCTAATTACGTGTTTCTAAAATATTTTCAAACTTACTTGTTTGCTTTCACTGTTTCCGTCTTTCATTTGACACCGCCAAGTGCAGTCGTTGTCATTGCACATATCACTATGTTCCTTATGAGTTTCAGGTGAGCTGTCGTCTGAATCCGAAAGCGATTGATTAACCAGAGGGGATGGATTCATTGCAGGGATATCAGTTTGAGAAAATTTTAAATTTTCATTCCCGTTTTCACTCTCTAAAGAAGATCTATGCTTCTCTTCCCTTTCTTTACGAAGCCTCTCCGCTTTCCGCCACTTAGCTCGACGATTCTGAAACCAAACCTATAAAACCAAAAAAATACGCATTTTAAGTACACTTAATAGCGCTTTGAAATATTAATTTGTTTTAATAACTAGAATAACGGCAGGTTCTAGTGTCATTCAAGATCTATAAGTAAGGGTGCACTCAGTTAAACTCTCATCCTCATTCAGATTACGAAGTAAAATCACTTATTTTTTAGATCCATTTCTCACATATTTTCTTTCTAATCAAAATTAAGATTTCACGTGTTGAAATCTGAAAATTAAGCGATTTTTTCAATGAAATATAAACAAACGCAAATGCTTTAAAAATTGTATGGAACGATTTTTTCCTTATAGTTTTTAGTCAAAAATGTCTTTCTTTCTACCATTTGATTTTGGAAATTTTACTTTTTTTACAGCTATCTCTTCTGTTTCTGTTTCTTTCTAAACAGTTTATTGATTCGACCCAAGATTGCTAGTTACAAACGTTTGGGAAAAAAGAGAAGTATTTGTGGAAGTATGATAATATGCAAATCTACGAAACTGCAAGCCGCAATAAAAGACGGTATTTGTGTATCACAAGTTTTTTGCGTGTTTATAAAACAATATTTTCCTACCAAAAGTTGAAGAAAACAACATTTTCACTTTATAGATTTCAGTTTATAATCGTTGTAATTATGGCCCACCAGTGGCTGACCGGTAAAGTAGCTGAACACTGGTAGTTCGGTCCGGAGTTTGAATTGCGGCGAAGATGCTGGCTCCATAAGCGTTTTCGTGGTTTCCCCATGTGTAACTTGTATACGAGTCAGTTTTTCCCTTAGAGAGTGCCTCCACGAAGGCATCTCTCCCCTTAGGGAGATAATTGTCAGAAGCTTTGCCGTAATTAAATACAATTAAATAAACCGAACAAAATCTTATAATTCTATACAGCGCATGATAAGTTCATACAGCTGAGACTTCATTATCTCACTGAACTCATCTTATGGAATATCGTTTGCTTTTTTTTCAGCTTTATTTCGTTGCTGTTTTTCCCACTTTACGAAAACACTTTACTGGTTTTCTAAGTTTCTAGTTACGGTTTCGTGAAATGTCTTCAGTGCCGTTAAAATAATAACTTGCAGGTAATACATCAATTCAGAGAAGAAAAAATAGTCTTTCACGGGGTAAAGATGGTAAATAAGAGGAGGGACGGATACGAATCGTGACACGTTTACCGTTAGCAACTACCGTACAGTAAAGGAATTGTGTGGACAATGCATTCTCATGAATTACATCCGAATCATATGATTAAGTAAGCCTAACGCTCTGAATTCTCTTCAAAAGTCTGTCCATTACATCTTCATGTAATATGAAATTTGTAGTCAGTCGTTCACAAACAAACTCCTAGTGAATTTCCTTTTCCCGATAAAAAGTAGGTCACCGACTTTCCTTTTTTCAGGATTCTACTCTCTTTCTTTCTTTTTTTTTTTCATGCTTTTTTCTCAAGATTTCTGATACAGAAATTTATGTGGTCGTAATACATCTTCATCAGCCCAAGTAAATGGTTGCAGTTTTGTTTCAGACTCATTAGCAAAGCTCTAAATTTTATCTCCATGGACAATTAATTCGTTTGAGAAGTACCACGGTTAATATCTGCCTTTTAAATCAAATCATGACATGAAAAAATTCGGTTTTCTTTCTAAACTACAATCATAGCCTGACGGATAAAAGCACATTTTTGATCTTCTATGATAGATTTGTGATCAGTATTGTTACTGTCCCATGTAGCGTGTCGTCATATTATTAGCATCAATAACCTAAATACTGTTTTAACAATTTTCGTAAGTAGCCTCTTTCTGTAGTAAAATTCCTTTTTTTTCTTTCTACCTATACAACGAAGTTTCCCGAAGAATATCGAAAAACATCGGGAAAGGAACTTAATGATAATATCGTAAGATATAAGGTAGAGTGGACAGACTAAACATATCGAATACTGAAGAACTTCCTTGCGAGTTATTAGTATGAATCCAACTTGGCAATATAGCACCTAGAAAAAGACTTTAAAAAATGTGAAAGACTAAAAGTGTTTTTAAAAGGAATTCTGCACATACTGCGTTAAAAAATCCTTGATTCTTAAAAATGCCATAGCAACTATTAGCTGTACATATCATGAATTAAATGCATTAAAAATCAATCAGATAAAAATTTGTAGGATCTAGTCTTCTTGGCTAACATATACTGCTACAAGACGTACTTGAAAGTCTGTTAGCGACTTCTCTCTAAGACTGGAAAATGAATACAACGAGGAAAAGGTGTAAAAACCCCTTTTATTGAACACAGTTATTTACAGACGACACAGTCTTTGTACTTACAAATCCAGGATAAAATTAAATATAATGGTAAACTAAACTAAATTTAAAGATAAGCTAGTAATTCAAGACTACACAAATTAATTTAACCTAAAAGGTTGAATCAAACCTAAACTGACGTGATATTAAACTTCGGCGGCATGAATGCGAAGACGAGAAACAAGAACATGCGCACTCAGTAATGAAGCACTCTCTGACCAATCATTTCGCTACTTTAGTTTAAGTACACTCTCATTCACCCTAACTCATTTACATCCTGAGGAAGAAACGCGAGAGAAACAAGAAATGACAGAAAAGGATAACAAATTAAAATAACTAAAAATAATATTCACAAAACGAATTAAAAAGACTGTATTAGTGCTTCTAAATCGCTTAGTTGTTTAAATCAATAACTTTTATCCTCATGAAATAAAATATTTTTATCTTCCACGCCCCAGTGTGTTTTCATTCAGTAAAGTGTATGCATGAAAGATACAAGAATTTTATTTCCGGAAATAGCAACACACTGCTTTTAAATAGCCCAATTTGTCGGTTAAATTTTCAAAATAAATTTCGTACTCTTTGTTGAATACGAAACCACTGGCTAGCGAAAAATATAAAGCTTTTATTTCGAGAAATGGAAACAAGTTACTTTTAATCGCTAAATTTATTAATCAAAAATTAACTATTACAAAATATGATATGAATTTAAAAAAATTCTGAATAAAATATTCGACCAAAGAATATGTATTGTTTTCTTTGATTCGGCTTTGATGTGCACATGTTTGCGTGTATGTGTTCAAAATTTGGTGGCTCTAAGTGCCACCATTTTTTCACAATGCGAGTATCACATGACACATGTACAGACAGGCTTATTCTTCATTTTTAAAAATGGAGAATAATCCATTTCAGTAGGCATTGTGGTTTGTGTGCCAGATTCTCGTGCCATTGGCTCCAGACTCAGATCCTGGGCAGGCCATTGAACATTTGCGACTTCAGTGTCTTCGTGACATTTAAAATCTGTCAAATCCAATATCCTCTCGATATATTTAGTGGTAGAGAAAGATAAGTATGAGACTTCAGACTCCTGCTCTCTGAGAGTACGCTTAGGCTATAATTGATTTTGGAAGTTATTCAAAATGTCTGTCTCATGAAAGTACCAAGTTTACATAATATTACAATAATGCTACCAACTTCCTGCGATGCGAGCGCAGCAGATACGAGAAATTCGGTGAACACAGTTGTCGGGGGCTTAGAAATTTTCTGTGATTGAACTCTAACTGAAGATTTCAAAAATAACACACTTATTAACTTTAGGCTGAACCGAAAAAAACATTTAAAGTCATTTCAAATAAAGCTATTAAATTTTTATTCCCTTTTTGCACAGCTATATGAAAAAGGATTTTCTTCCATGTTATATTTGAAAAAAAAAAAAAAAAAAAAAAAAAAAAAAAAAAAAAAAGAATTACAAAACAAAACTAAAAGTGGATCCTAATTTACGGCTCAAGCTAAGTGAAATGTAACCAGACATAAAGAAATTGATCTCTCTTAAACATGTCCTAATTCCACAATAAATTTTAGAATTAAAGTATGTAGGATTTATATTCATTTTAACTAACATTTATTTTAAGTTTAAACTATCTTTCCTGTCAAGCCTTACTTTTCCCTGGAATTGCCAATGCCAGAGTATGTAAATTTTAGTAGAACGCGCAAGGATTCTAATTATCAGCGGAAGTATTCTGAGTTAAATAGAAAGGAAACGAGTTCGAAAGTGTGCTTTCTTGTTTCACGAGTGTGGAAGTGGCTAGTTAGAAATTGAAGAACCACGCGTTTCGGCCTGTGTGCTTGCCTCGGCAAATTGTTAATCTTTCAACGTAATATTCAGAGTTTGCTGAATTATCAGCAGTATTTTAGAACGCGTTCAGGTTAGTTACGTTTAGAGAGCCTCGTAGTTAGTCACTTGTTATTATCTCTTTTTCAGTTTCTTATTTTTATTTTACCGCCGGGTCGGCGTTTGTGAGCGTCAAGAGCACGCAATTGTAATTTCTAAAGTTGAATAAAAAGGGATTTAAACCCTTCTCAAGACTTTGGGTCTAGTTCCAGCTCTCAGCAGTCACCACTTTATTGCGTGCAGGTTGGAAGCGCGCAACTTTACATTGGCGCCCGAACACTTGTCGAACTGAAATGGCCGAAAATCGGATGGAAGTTGCGGGAAAACAACAAGAAATGGCAAGCCAATTGGAAGGATTTGGATACCTGGTCCAGACGTTGAGAGCGTCAATCAAGCCAAACGTCAATTTCGACGGAAAAAATTCGGTGGCGATATTTCTAGAAAGACACGACAATCACTTTCAGCTCTACCCTGTGCCGGAAAGACAAAAAGTTGCCATCGCCACATCTGCACTAAGAGGACAGGCCGCGCTATGGTGGAAGAATATAGGCAAATTTTTATTAGGGGAATTCGGAGGCCAGACATATACATTTGAAAATTTCAAAAAATCGTTATTAAAGGCCTTCCCCATAGTGAAAGATCGAGCAAGGCTAGAAGCCGAACTATATAATTTTTATCAACGGGATATAAAAGAGTTGACGGACTTTATTCTGCGAAAAATTAAGCTGACGGATATGCTGTATGGGAAGAAACCCGTCGCGGAGATTATTGAAATAATTTTATCAAGATTACTACCTGCTGTTCAAGATTACTTTGAAATT